CCCGGGGGTTCCCCCCCCCAGGAGCCGGCTGCGGGAAAGCGGCTGTGTGGGGACCAGGCACTGCTGTGGAGGCAGGAAGCCGCGCAGGGGAAGGGCAGGGGGATATGGGAGAGCAGGGGGAGGGGAAAAGGAAACCAGAGACAGTGATGCAGGGGAGGCTGCCGGCCCAGCCACCGCAGCGCAGGCGTGGAACGAAGCCAGGGCAGGAAGGGAGATAAAGAGCCTGAGACACACAAGGCCCACAGACGCCAGGCGCCGTGGAGAGCTGAGGCAGGGAAGCCGCGCAGGGGAAGGGCAGGGGGATATGGGAGAGCAGGGGGAGGGGAAAAGGAAACCAGAGACAGTGATGCAGGGGAGGCTGCCGGCCCAGCCACCGCAGCGCAGGCGTGGAACGAAGCCAGGGCAGGAAGGGAGATAAAGAGCCTGAGACACACAAGGCCCACAGACGCCAGGCGCCGTGGAGAGCTGAGGCAGGACAGCCCGGCCGAGCACGTGAACGGCACGCAATGGCGCGCTGCACCCGGCCACGGGGGCTGGGTCAAGAAACATCTGCCAGGCCCGCGCACAAGTGAGCGCTGGTGCCAGGAGGTGGCCCGGCCTGCTCGGGCAGGAAACACCCCTTTGCAGCACTCGGGGGCTCTTGCTTTGCCCCACAGCCGGGCCCACGCGGGCCAGAGGGGCTGTGGGCACCATGAGCAGCGGGGCCTGGCACCACCTGCACTTCAAGCGCAGCGATCACTGGCTTCACCAGGCAAGGGCAGCTGCTGCAGAGCATGTACATGCCAGGCAGCTGCTGACAGCAGGTGTCTCACTGTGGTCAGCTGCAGGGAAGGAAAACCATTGCTTGGGGGTGGGGGGTGTTTCAGCTAGAGGGCCCTGGTGTAGACAAGGCCCCGAGGAGCCCCAGGAAGGCTGAGCTGAGCTGAGCGTGCCAGTAAGTGAATGCAGAGTCACTGTCCTGCCACCCAGGGCAGAGCTCAGCGCCTCAGTGTGACCGTGGGTGGACCTGGCTGCCCGGTCCCTGCCTCTGGAGAGCCATGGCCGACTTCCTCCCACTTCCCTATCAGACCCGAGTCCAGACACCTCCACCCACAGCAGGCAGTGGGTCCTTGCTGCCGCAGCCACGCCTAAGCGGGAGCCCAGGCCTGGACCGCAAGACTTGGTATGCGCAGGCCATAGCCTTGCTCCTTAGGGCTGGAGCAGGGGCTGTTTGTGCCCACGCTGAACACAGCAGAGCCACTCGGGGGCTGGTCGTGGGTTCAGAGGCCACCTCCCAGAGACAGCAGGGCAGCACCTGGCACACCAGGGCCGGGACTGTGGTGGGGGATCAAGGGATGCAAGCAGGTGACAATCACCGATGCAGAAGCAGAAACCTCCTCTGAGCTGTAGCAGCCCCTGGCCACGATCCCCTGCACGTAGGCTCCGGCCCCAGGGCTGCCCTGAGGGACCCTCCCCGTGTTCCCGGGTGCTGGGCTGCGAGGGAATTCAGAGGAGGGAGAGGCTGGTGCTGTTTGCTTGCTGGGGTGGGGAGGTGAGATTAGACTAACCTGGGGCAGAGTCGAGAACGGGGATGTGAGCCGAAGTCGCAGCCACCACAACTGTCTCTAGCTACAGACACATCAAATCCAGCAGCTCTCAACCCTGGCAGACTCGGGGCCACCTTGGAGGCGCCAGCTTTTAGCGCCTGCTCATTGCTTGACCACAGGAAAATAACAGAGTGGTTCTTCTGTGGCAATGAGCCCAGAGAGCCCTGTCAGGGCAGGGGGTTCGGG